AGGTTTCGGCGGTTCTGCAGTGGCCTCGTCCCAATGGTCTTCGGCCCATTCAGCGCTTTTTTTTGGGTTTTGCCAACTACCTATCGGAAGTTCATCCGGAACTTCTCCACGCTGGCCAAAGCCTCTCTCAGACCTAACCAAGAAGGGTAGCAGTAATCCTCACTGTCTGAGTGGCCACCCGAGGCCATCGTAGCGTTTCGAGGCAGGCCTCTGAAATCCGCCTTCGCGTCGGCTCCGATACTGTCTCATCCCAATCCTGGATTGCCCTTCGTCCCTTACTCTGATGCATCCGAGAACGGTTGATGAGTAGGCGCTCTGTTTTCTCCTCAACGTCGGTCGCCCGATGTACCCCTACTTCCCTGTGGGTTCTACTCCAGGAAGCTTTCCTTGCAGAGTGCAACTACCAGATTGGAGATAGGGAGTTGTTGGCAATCATTCTGGCTCTCAAGGAATGGAGGCACCTGCTCGAGGGCTCCCGCGGTTCCCGGTCCTCATTCTTACCGGATCATAAGAACCTGACTTATCTTTCGGAGGCCAAAAAGATTGACACCCCCGCCAGGCCAGATGGGCTCTGTTCTTGTCACGCTTCAACTATGTGGTTTCATATTTGCCTGGTTCCAATGGAATGTCAGGGCTGATGCGTTATCACGGCAATACTCTGAGTTGTCCAGGGAAGACTCTGAGCCAATCTCGTTATTCCTCCAGATCAGATCCTGGCTGCCATTCGCACCAGTCTGACCTCTCCTCTTGGGGAGCAGATTTTGGGGGCTCAATCTGATGCTCCCCTTGGGAAGCCGGAGGGTAGATGTTTTGTTACCCGAGGGATTGCGCACACCCCTGCTGCGTACCTACCATAACGCCAAAACTGCCGGGCATCCGGGGAAGAACCAGCTGTGTTGGGTCGTCTCTCGCTTATTCTGGTGGCCAAACCCTCCGTGCCGACATTGCCTCTTATGTAGCGGCATGTTCGATCTGTGCCCAGAATAAGTCTCCACGGCATCTCCCTTTGGGTCTTCTGCAACCCATTCCCAATGGGGAGCGTCCTTGGTCACACCTAGGTATGGACTTTATTGTAGACCTCCCGGTTGTCTCGGGGTCATACGGTCATCTCTCATGATCGTCGATCGGTTTTCCAAGATGTGCCATTGCATTCCACTCAGGAAATTACCAACAGCGCAAGAACTGGCCCACGGTCTTTTCCAGGGAGATTTTTCGCCTGCATGGGTTGCCTAAGGTGATTGTCTCGGACCGCGGGAGTCAGTTCGTGTCCAGATTCTGGCGCGCCTTCTGCTCCCAGTTGGGTATTAGTCTCTCCTTTTCCTCAGCCTACCACCCGCAGTCCAATGGGGCTGCGGAGCGTTCCAATCAGGCCTTAGAACAATTCCTTCGGTGTTATATTTCAGACCATCAGGACGATTGGGCCGATCTCCTGCCTTGGGCAGAGTTTGCCAGGAACTCGGCGGTCAACTCCTCCTCCGGGATGTCGCCCTTCATGGCCAACTATGGGTTCCAACCCGCGGTATTACCTGAGAGGTTCTCAACACAGGACATTCCGGCTGTGGAGACCATCTTGCTGCCCTGCGTTCTTCATGGGGGCAGATCCAGAGGGCCTTGAGGGACTCAGCTCAGCGCTAGAAGTTCCAGGCTGATCGCAGACGGTTGCCCGCTCCTTCATACCAGGTCGGCGATCGGTGTGTGGTTGTCTACTCGCAACCTCAATCTTCGGGTGCCCACACCCAAACTAGCTCCCCGTTTTGTCGGTCCTTTCCGCATTCTCCGCAAAGTAAATCCGGTGGCCTATGCCCTTGCCCTTCCGTCTGGGATGCGGATCTCCAATATCTTTCATGTTTCCCTGTTGAAACCTCTGATCTGCAATCGCTTCACTACCTCTCTGCCTCGGCCCCGTCCTGTCCGGGTTGACGGTCATGAGGAGTATGAGGTGAGCCGGATCCTGGACTCTCGATTGGTGCGCGGTCGATTACAGTTCCTGGTTCATTGGCGCGGTTATGGTCCTGAGGAGCGTTCCTGGGTTCCTTCCGCGGATGTCATGCTCCTGCCCTCCTCCGCGCTTTTCATACCCGCTTTCCTCAGAAACCTTTTGTTGAGCCGCGGAGGGGGAGGGGCCCTTGAGGAGGAGGTACTGTCAAGGTCCTACCTTTTCCCTGAGGTTATGTTACTCCATGTGGCTGGTGTCCATCTTGGATTCTGCTGTGCATGATGGGAATCCTTTTTATGCCTTCAGGTCTCTGAGGTCCACCCCCCAGAGGGGCGTGGCTGATGACATATAAGCCTGTGGCACCCCGCACATGCTTTTTGCACTTGTGTCTTGTGTCTTGGTGGTTACTATTACTCTGTTCTGACTCTTGTGACTCTCCTGGTATTCTGATTCGGCTTGTGACTTGACTATTCTTTGTATTCTCCTTTGATCTGACCCTCTGTTGCTGAACCCGGCTCGTGACCTGTGATTCTCGTCTGCTGTCCTGTACTGTTTTGTCCTGTGGTTGTTGACCCCAGCTGTCTGACTACTCTTTTGTTTCTTCCACCAGCTACACGCCATTGGCGGCGGCCATTACCGCAGCTGAGGTGTCTCTGGGGGCCGCGACCTGGTTCCTGTCTGCGTCAAGTCCATCCCCACCATCAGGGGCCCTGGTGAAGGGCAGCCTGGGACTTAGACTCCGCGCCCTGAGGGACTTCGGTCTGTGGGTGGTGGTTGTCGTCAGCCAGTGCGTTACATTGTTAGGCCTGCCTGTCCGTTCCTCGGCTCTGCCCTGACAGATGTTACCCCGATGCCTCGGATGGATGAGCTCATTGGACAGGCTGGGAACAGCCCGATACATAACTACCTTAGATCTGACTAAAGGCTATTGGCAGATACCCTAACGGAATCTCCAAAAGAAAAGGACAGCATTTTCTACCCCCGAGGGGTCCTTCCAGTATGAGCGGATGCCATTTGGTTTGCATGGTGCTCCTGCCTCATTCCAGAAAATGATGGACAGAACGTTTAAGACTACATCGCCAATGCGCAGCTGCCTATTTGGATGATGTTGTCATCCACAGCCAGATTGTGAGTCTCATTTGCCCCGGTTGCAATCAGTAGTAAATTGGCTTAGGAAAGCAGGTCTTACTGCCAACCCTAAAAAGTTGTGCCATTTGCTTGGAGGAGGCCAAATACCTTGGCTACAATATTGGTCAGAGGACTGATTAGGCCTCAAATCAATAAAACTGAGGCAATTCAAAAGTTTCCCCAAAATTATAAATAAAAAGAAAGTCCAGGCATTTCTTGGGATCACAGGCTACTATAGGCCATTTTATACTCAATTTTGCCCCCATTGCAGCCCCACTGACAGAAACTGACAAAAGGTAGGGGGTAGGTTATGATTGAGTGGAATTTCTGAGGTAGAGACAGCATTTCAAATGTTGAAAACGAGCTCTCTGTGCCCAACCTTTTTTTTTCTTGATCATTTAATTTTGTTCCTTATTCCTTTTCCCACTTTTTAAGAATGATGGAAAGACAGTTCCAGACACAGCAGTAAGAATCTTATATATATGCGAGAGGTCACATGCCTTCACATTATGTCCTTACTAAAAAGTTGTTCAAATGGATACATGTCTCCCTTTGTCCTCAGTGGCTGCAGGAGAGCTGTGACATAAGTGTCTTAATTGATAGTAACACCACTGGTCTAACACAGCAGATTATTTCCTCTTATTTTTTAAATCTATGAAAGTGCACAATTCCCCTTTATCAATAATGTCTTTTAAACGTGCATTTTTATCTTTTATCCAATTACCTGCAATATTCTCATTCCAGGGGGGAAAAATTTCTGTTCCCCACAAAGGTATTAATAGTGAAATATATTCCCACCCCCTTTGTGTATGAATTCTGTTGCATATCCTAAAAACATTACGTGTTAAAGTGCTTGTATATCGATAATTTTCTAAACTGTTATGGGAGCAAATAATCTTGTCTAACTATGACTCGCTAAATGTACTTTTCTATCTTTGCCCAACTTTTCCCCGTGAGTTGTAAATCCAATCTGCTATTCTTGAAAGAAGCACTGCATAATAATATCTCTTAAAAATCCAGTATGTTCAGACCCCCGTTAGTTTTGTCCTTACACAATACCTCATAACTGACTCCTTGGTGTTTTGTTTGCCCATATATACGTAGATATCATCCTTTGGGACTATTATAATTTTTTTACCAAATTTATTACGGCCAATCCAAGAGATTGATCCAGTAGATATTTTCCTCAATTCATCCTGTCAACTCATTTATTAGTGAAATGTTAATTTGACTGATAAATATGCTTGAGAACAGGGTTTAATTTTACACCTAAATAACTTAAGTCCTTCTCCCTCAATACAAAAGGAAATTATTTCTGTAAAATCTCTGTTTTTCTGTCTTCGGAACATTGATATTTAATATCTCTGACTTCCGAAGGGTTAATTTTCAAGTTTGATAGTTCTCCATAATATTTTAACATTTTTATTAAATTAGATAGTTACTCTAAAAATATTAGCATGTCGTCTGCTTACGCCACTACTTTATGCTCCACAAATCCCCTATCAAAATCCCTTTTACATCTATATTCCTTTATACAGTCACCAATAAATGGTCCCAATGATATAACAAAAAGTAAGGGAGAAGAGAGTGGACATCCCTGTCGGGTTCTGTTGTACATTTTTAAAAAATTGTGACAACAAACCATTGACCTTGACCGCAGCAGTTGGAAAAAACTATATAACATTTTAACTATTGCAATCATTTTAGGTCCAATCACCCAAAGTTTCCAATGTGTCAAACATTAAATCACCCAAACTACCTGTCAGGCTCCGCCCAACGGGATCTCTAGTGGTCCACAGCACGGGGTTTCCAGAACGCGGAGGAAGTCTAAGTCCCAGTCTGCCTTTTCACCAGGGCCCCTGATGGTGGGGATGGACTTGGTGCAAGACTGGAACCAGGTCGCGCCCCTGGGCACCCCCGGCGGTGGTAGAGGGGTCCGCTGAGGGTATGTGCCCGGGATGAGCCTGCTGCGAAGGGGACGACAGGTCCGATCCGAGCGGATGGATGGGATGGCAGATTCCGATCCGAGCGGGATGGACGGATGACAGATCCCGATCCGAGCGGGATGGGATGGGTGACATGCTAGGAGTGAGCGAGGTCAGACTAGCCGGGTCTGGGTATCGGTGTGGGCAGCGTGGTACAGGGGGAGTAAGCGGAGAATGGTCGGGGTCACAAGCCAGGATCAGCAGGTAGCGGGCAGCGCGGTACAGAGGGTCAGGCAGGAGGGATGGTCAGGGACGAGCCGGGGTCAGAGCAGGAGAGGGTCAGCATAAGCCAGAACAGGGCCAGAGTTTGGCAACTAGGAAGCGTACTTACAGGGACAGGAACAAGACCTTGCGGCAACCTGGAGATGCACAGGGCAGCTTTAAATAGAGCGCCCTGTTCTCCCATTGGTGCGGCCGCGCTGATCGCTACTGCGCATGCGCGGCCGCCGCCGCGAATCACCGGCCGGGACGGATCGGCCGTCCTGCGCATGCGCGCACCACCGAGGACCCGGGATCCCTGACATTGCCCCCCCCTACGGGCAACCTCCGGATGCCCAACCGACCCCTAACGAACGGCTAGTTCTGAAAAATTCCCGCACAAGTCTTGGGGCGTGCACATTTTGGGCCGGCTCCATGAATTTTCCTCCGCCCCATATCCTTTCCATTTAAGCACCAGAAAAACTGAGTTCGGCTTCCCCTCTACCTACAATCTAAGATAGCTTCAACTTCAAACTCCTCCTCCCCATCCACGTCTACTGCCTCCGGTGGTTTAGACCTTCGATCCGGGAAGGGATCTGGAGTTGCTGGTTTCAACTGGGGACACGTGGAAGACCGGATGAAACCTTCATAGACTCGGGCAGTGCAATGGCTCGTTAATGCCACCTCGTTGATCTTACGTTATTACACGAAAGGGCCCCAAGAATTTGGGAGCCAGTTTCTTCGAAGGGCAGGGCATTTTCAAATTTGCGGTGGACAACCAAACCTGGTCCTCTGGCTGCAAACTCAATTCCCCCCCTTCTCTTCTTATCAAATGCCTCTTATTGTCACCCTGGGCCTTTGCCATTGCTTCCTGCAATACCTTGCTATTGGTTGACAAAAAGTTCAACATATCCTGCGTGGCCGGGGACTGCGACCTCCGGGATCAGATCGGGCAGGAATACAGGGTGGAACCCGTAGTTTGCGAAAAACGGGGACTGTCTAATTAGCCGAGTGACTCGCATTGTTATATGCGAATTCCGCAAGTGGCAGGAGAGTAAACCAGTCATCTTGGAGGAAGGTGGTATAGCACCTGAGGTACTGTTCTAGGGTCTGGTTTGTACGCTTCCGTCTGGCCCATTGGTCTGTGGGGGTGGTAAGCAGAGGAGAATGACAGCTTAATTCCCAGGGGGGGGTATCACATAAAGCTTTCCCAGAACCTGGATGTAAACTGAAACCCCTCTGTCAGATACAATATCCCTGGGAATTCCGTGGAGTCTTACCACTTTTTTATAAACACACGTGCTGGTCTCAAGGGCCGTAGGTGTGTCCTTTGAGGTAACAAAATGGGGCCATCTTGGACAGGCGGTCTACAATCACGAAGATTGCTGTGTGGTCCTGAGAGGGTGGAAGTTCCACAATAAAGTCAATGGAAATCATTGTCCATGGTCTGTCGGGTATTGGTAATGGACACAAGAGACCCCAAGCCTTATTCCTAGTAGGCTTGTTCCTCTGACAAACGGGACAGGTTTTTACGTAAGTTTCGCACTCTCTGGCCATATTAGGCCACCAGAAGGTACGCTGCAACAGCTCCAAAGGTCTTACGTACCCCAAAGTGCACCGGCCAGTGGGTGTGATCATGGCAGTATCCTAATACCAATGGTACAGGCTTCCTCAGGGACCACAATCTGATCCTCCTTCCAGAGGAGTCCCTCCCTATTTAGTAAGGGGACACCGGGTGGGCCTTGCATACCTACGGACGCGGTCTGCAATTGAGAATGAAACTCCGATTGGAGGCTAGGAAATTCCCTGGGGACAGGATAGTGTCTGGCTTGGGACTCTCTTCGGGGTCCCCAAACATGCGGGAGAGCGCATCAGGTTTCGTGTTCTTAGACCCTGGCCTATAAGTTATATGGAAGAAGAACCGTGAAAAGAACAGTGCCCACCTGGCCTGACGTTTGGCCTCAGACGTTTAGCTGTTCTCAAATACTCTAGGTTCTTTGTGATCCGTGAAAATCAATATCGGGGGTGTACCGCCCCCTCTAACAGGTATCTCCATTCCTCTAGTGCCACCTTGATCGCCAAGAGTTCCCGATCCCCGATATCGTAATTCCTTTCAGCAGGAGTTAGTTTCCTGGAGAAGAAAGCCACCGGGTGCACAAGCTCTTTGATGACCTTCCTCTGAGACAGGATCGCCCCGACCGCATTCTCAGATGCGTCTACCTCCAAGATATATGGCAAGGATGAATCGGGGTGGCTCAAATAGGAGCTGCCGTAAACAACTCTTTTAAAGCTTCGAATGCCCTCTGTGCCTCAGGCGTCCACTGGAAGCGGATCCCTTGCCTGGTCAGCTGGGTGATAGGGGATACTAGGCCCGAAAAGTTCTTAATGAACTTCCTATAAAAGTTTGCGAAGCCAATAAAGCGCTGGACCGCTTTGTTATCGGTGGGTGCTGGCCAGTCTAAGATGGCCGAAACCTTTTGGGGATCCATGGCTATTCCCGTGGGAGAGATGGTTAGGCCCAGAAATGAAATTACTACTCTGTTCAAAACAGCACTTGTCTGCCTTGGCATACAAGCTGTGTTGGCGGAGCCGTTCTAACACGCGCTTCACATGAACCCCTATGGTCCTCCAAGGTTGGGGAAAAGATAAGGATATCGTCTAGGTATACAATGACGAAGATATCCAGATAGTCCCTGAACACATCGTTTATGAAATGCTGGAAGGTGGCTGGAGTGTTACATAGGCCGAGGGCATAACCAAATATTCAAAGTGTCCAAATCTGGTACGGAATGCTGTCTTTCCTCACTCGTCCCCCTCTCTGATACGGACTAAATTATAGGCACCTGCTCAAGTCTAGTTTAGTGAAGACAGATGCTGACTTCAACCTCTGAAAAAGTTCGGGGACTAGTAGGGTTATGGTAGGGGGTAACGGTTCTTCACCGTGACTTTATTCAAGTCCCGGTAATCTACGCAGGGCTGGAGGGATTTGTCCTTTTTTTCCACAAAGAAAATGCCCGCCCCAGCTGGCGACGTGGCAGGGTCTAATAAACCCCTTATGGAGGTTTTTTCATCAATATATTCTCTCAGTACCCCTACTCCCGCTCGGATAAGGGGAATATCCGCCCAAATGGAATCTCCGACCCTGGGAGGAGATCAATTGGGCAGTCATAACCTCGGTAGGGTTTGGCGGGGGGAGAGTGTCCGCCCCCCGCTTGCTAAACACATCCAAAAAACTATGGTAGGCCCGAAGGAGATGACTTGCGCCAGTTCCACATCTGTCTCTAGACACAACAAGGTCCCCGGAATCAGGGAAGTCTTAGGGAAGCAATGCTGCTGGCAGTATGTGGAGAGGAACTGGATAGAACCCATCTTCCAGTCCACCTGGGTATTATGGGCTTGTAACCACGGGAGCCCCAAAATAATTGGAAATAATGGGGATGCTATGGCGTCTAACCGAAGGATTTCTTCATGATGGGTCGATATAGTGGTACGGATAGGTGGGGTTTCATGGTCCACCACCCCTGACTTAATACGGGATCCATCTGCCAGAAAAATATTTAAATCCCACCATCCTTTAGCTTGTAGGGGGATTCGTTGCTGAACTGCAAAGTCCAAATCTATGAAGCAACTACACGCCCCAGAATCCACAATTGCTGTGGTCACCACCGTTCTTCTCCCCGGCAGCTGAAGTGACACAGGTACCGCTAGATAACTAGTGTTGCCCACACTGGTAGAATTGACCGTAGAAAAAAACAGTGGAACACTTACCCCCCTTGGCTGGACAGGTACGTACCACATGGCCTGCTCCCCCACTAGTATAGACAGAGATGGTTGGTAAGACGCCTCTGGCGTTCCTCAGTTGTAAGTGTCAGCCGTTGTCCTTCCGGGGCCCGGTTTTGAGTGTATCCATAGCATCCTGATTCTGGCTTGCCGGCTGGAACTGGGTTGAAGCCTGAGGGGGTGTTTCAGTTGGTCCACGTCCTTGGTTGCACTTTTCCTGCCTGCGCTCCCGCAACCGGCGGTCAATTCGAATAGTCAATGCTATTAGGGCCTCCAAGTACTAGGTATGTCCTATTCGGGCCAATTCGTCCTTCAGTGATTCAGCTAACCCAATGCGGAACTGGTGGTTGCAGAGCGCCTCATTCCATTGGCTGTCACTACGCCAACGCCTGAATTCGGCGGCATAGTTCTCCACTGTCCGGTGACCCATGCCTGAGTGTATATAGGGCCCTCTCGCCCTCAGCCGTTGCGGTGCGCAGCGGGTCGTCATACAAGAGGGCCATAGCCTCAAAAAATACTGTCATTGACCTCAACAGCGGGTCTCGATTCTCTAGGAGCCGGTGGGCCCAGTCTTGGGGTCCACCCTGTACTAGGGCAATGATGAACCCTACCTTCACTGATTCAGAGGAAAAGGTCCGAGGCTGGAGGTCAAAGTATAGCTGACAGGAGCTACGAAAGGCCCTTAATCTACTTCGGTCTCCAGAAAAACGTTCTGGTGTGGGGACACACGGGGTTCAGGCGCGGGTAACACAACCCTGGAGTCTCCCTAGTGCAGTGGTTCTCAACCTTTCTAACGCCGCGGACGACCCTTAATACAGTTCCTCATGTTGTGGTGACCCCCAACCATAAAATTATTTTCGTTGCTACTTCATAACTGTAATTTTGCAGTAGGAGGAATAGTGCCACAGTCATTGGTGTCAGTGGAGGAATAGTGCCCCGTCATTGGTATCAGTGGGAGGAATAGTGCCCCGTCATTGGTGTCAGTGGGAGGAATAGTAGGCCCCGTCATTGGTGTCAGTGGGAGGAATAGTGCCCCGTCATTGGTATCAGTGGGAGGAATAGTGCCCCGTCATCATTGGTGTCAGTGAGGAGGATAGTGCCCCGTCATTGGTGTCAGTGGGAGGAATAGTGCCTCGTCATTGGTGTCAGTGGGAGGAATAGTGCCCCATCATTGGTATCAGTGGGAGGAATAGTGCCCATCATTGGTGTCTGTGTGGAATAGTGTCCCATCATTGGTGTCAGTGGGAGGAATAGTGTCCCATCATTGGTATCAGAGGGAGGAATAGTGTCCCATCACTTTGGTATCAG